GGGGGGGGGGTGCGGGGCCATAAGGCGCACGTCGACAAGATGGAGAGGGTGCGGACAGCAGCAGCAGCAGCAGCAGCAGCAGCACATGACGACGCACCAAAAGCATGCAGAATTTATCAGACAGTTCGTTGGGGCTGTCTCCTGTCTCTACCCCTAAAAGTTTCTCGATTTGATAAAGATAGCCGATTGACATTCTCGCTTAAATTGATAACATAGCCCCATGAAATTGTACGGCATGCTAACGCACCTTGATTGTTGTTAAAACACCTTCGATGTGATCGGCGATGCCCCAAGCAACGGCATTCAGTGAAAACAGCGGGACGCCATAACCCTACCGCGTGGACTCAAAGTAAAACGCGGGGGTATCGATCCAACAGTTCACCGTCACTACTTTTACATTTTAAAGAAAGTAACTTAAGCACGACTCTCACAAGGAGGCTGAACGCACAACAGAATACATTTCGTCATATTCATAATCGTAATCATCGTAGATTTAACCAAATCACAATAAAACACACGGTTAACGACTGTCCACGAATAGGGCGGCAACACAGCAACACTAACTTGTTGCGCTCGCAGTGGTGCCAACGAACAAAAAAAATACTGACAACAAAGTAAGAAAGACGCATAGGTCCATTTAAATAATATCACTTTAAAAAATCCAATTTTCCTCTGTAATTTTTAATTGGTAACAGTTTTGGTTTTAAAATTTTGGCCCCACATGTAAAATTACTATATAGACCACTTCAACTCAGTCGGTTTTCTGAACGCACCCAGTGACGGTTGGCGGTTTCCGTTCCCGCGGTTCGGACAGTTGGTTTCGGGTCACCTGATCGAGCTCTATCATCAAAATGTCGAGTTCAGAATCCGACGCAAGTGAATTTGAGGATATTAAACCTTTTTTCCCTTTGGAAGAATGGAAGGACCTGTGTACCTATGAGAAAAAGAGTTACCGCAATGCTAAGGCAAATTATCACAACATGCAGCTCTGCGGTAAGAAATGGTTTTCAAACACCTCTTGTGAGGCTGGTGATGGCAATGATAACCTCACTTGATGGGCGCGTTTTCATGTCGGAAGTAAAACTTTAGCCGGTAGAAAAGCTAATTTGTGTGTCGCTCGCGTTCCTTTCGTTTGCATAGGCCTAGCCCCAAAACCACCAGGGTTCATGACTAGGATACTCGCGCAGAAGCGCAAAGAGAAAAGTCAACAACGCCCACAGGCCAAGAAAGGGGCGAAGAAACCCAAAGGTGAGGAAGAGCCTAGTGACGATGAGAAGGACCTGGACTGGTCTCCAACGAAAGAAAATGCAAAGGTAAGCCTTTCGCCTCTGTCCTCCCTCCCTTCCTCTGGTTCTCATTTCTCTGTTCAACCGTTTTGACGCCTGTCTGATATCGCGTCCGATGCGTTTTTCTCCTTGCAGGGCCGACCCCAACCCCTGCAGCCGGACCGCCCTAAGGTTGCCCCGGTTCCGCCCCTACCGACGTAAGTTGCAATGCAGCAGTTCACCGCCTGCCCCTCAATATGACGAACGACCCACGTCACTCGCCCCATATCCCTCTGTCCTCCATCCCCCAGGTCCGCCGCCGGCAAGGAGAACGTCGACCCGGTCGCCAGCACCAGCAGCAGCACCTCCTCGGTCAGGGCGAAGAACAAGCGCTGCGCCCCCCGCGCGCCCGCGTCCGCTGGAGTGCCTCTCGCAAACCGTGGTCCATCCTCCTCGGCCGCTGCACCCGAGGCGCCGCGGCCGACGACGCGCTACCCCAAGCGGGCGGGCAGCCGCAGGTCCTACGTGGAGCCCGAGCTGCAGGACGATGACGACTTCCTCTGTGAGTTCTAGTTCAAGTAGAGTCCACTCGCTTGTAGCGCGCGGCAGGACGAGTACGAGTACCGCCGATTCGAGGTAACTTTATGACCCTTACGCTTTGCTGCAGTCTGCGATGACTGCCAGAAGGAGTGGGACGGCGACTGCCCCGTCCACGGAGCCCTGGAGATCATTGCGGACACTGAGGTATGCTTTCGGTCAGACCTGTCTACCATACGCACGACGCTGGGTTCATCGTGAAATGTATGCGACTTTTACGCTGGCTTTCTCATAGGTCGCCGTCGGACACCCCGAGCGGGCCTTGCTCACGGTGCCGCCCCAGCTCGTCATCGAGGCCAGCAAGATCCCGGGGGCGGGGCGCGGCGTGTGGACCCGGCAGGCGGTGCCCAGGAGGGTGCGCTTCGGGCCGTACGAGGGCGACAACGTGCCGGCCAACAAGGAGACGGGCTACGGCTGGGAGGTAAGAGGCAGGAGGCCGAGCCTGCCTTTCACTAGTTGCAGACAAAGTCTACCGTGCTCGGTTTGCAAAATACATATGAACTTAATTTTCTCTCTAATACATTTGTTTTCCTCCCTCTTGCAGATTCACCGTGGCGGGAAGGCCACCCACTGCGTCGACGCCCTGGACATGGCCAAGTCCAACTGGATGAGGTTCGTCAACTGTGCGCGTCACTCCGGGGAAGAGAACCTGTACCCGTACCAGTACAAGGGACACCTCTACTACCGGGTGGTGCGCGACATCCCGCCGAACACGGAGCTGCTGGTCTGGTACGGGGACTCGTACGGCAAGGAGCTCGGCCTCGACCCCAAGCTCTACAAGGACCCTACGCAGGACACGCGAGCACTCAGTGAGTACGGCCTCAGGTTTGGGGTGGTTTGCGTTTCAATCGGGTGACGAAACTAGAACATGTCCAGCTGGAGGTCCAGTTGTGGTCCAGTTATAAATTGTGCCGTGACCTGCGCGGGTTCATCTCACCTGCCGCGAATGAGACTCTCACCCTCCGTGCTCTTTCCTCCCGCAGCCGGCATCTTCCCGTGCGGCGCGTGCGGCCTCTGCTTCGTCAGCCCCCTGCTGGTGGCCCAGCACCACCGCGTCGGCGTGTGTAGTGCGGAACTGAGGCGGCGGCAGGCCTGTGGCGCTGGCGCCGTGCTCGGCGGCGGCCGGGCGGAGGGCGAAGAGCAACTCGGAGGGGACCAGGGCGCTCCAACCGGGGCCGGCAGCGCGGACAAGCCTCACCGCTGTGCCACCTGCGGGGCCGGCTTCAGGACCCAGTGGAACCTCCGCAGACATACGAGGACACACACTGGTGAGAAACCCTTCAGTTGTGAAATCTGTAGCGCTAGCTTCAAGGAAAGGTCCAAGTTACGCACACACATGAGGACACACACTGGTGAAAAACCCTACAGTTGTGAAATCTGTAGCGCTAACTTCTCTGGAGCTAGCAGGTTACGCACACACATGAGGACGCACACTGGTGAAAAACCCTTCAGCTGTCAAAACTGTAGCGCTACCTTCTCTAGGGGTGACCACTTACGCGCACACATAAGGTCACACACTGGTGAAAAACCCTACAAATGCCAAATGTGTAGTGCTAGCTTCTCTATGAATTGCAACTTAAGTACTCATATGAGGACACACACTGGT